TGCCAAAGCCATAAACTCCACTGAAACTTGCACAAATCCAAGGAACACCACCCATCATATTCTTATATTTAACTTACCAAATTTGAAATATAAGCAACATATATGTATATTCCAGCTGCAGCACTCTAGTCTTGAAGAAGAGCTCCTTCTTTCTTCCCTTTCCTTGTCCTCCTCCTCCTGCTAGTTCCAGCTTCACGCCTAGTGTTCCCATCGCTATGAATCAACGGCACATCGTTCGCTTCCTCGCTGTCGTCCTCCGTGGCTATACGGATGCAATAACATCGTTCTAGTGATGCAAAGAAAGCAGTCGCCACTCCATTGATGAACCATATAGCCACACCATCAAGCTTTCCGCATGCGGATGGCGTGGAGCCGCGGCCGGCAGGTGATGAGGACTTCACCGCACTGGCCTCGACGTCACTTGATCCAAGGTTGAAGAAATCGGAGCAGTTGCTAGTAGAACTGGAGGTAGTAGTCGCTGCCATGAATTTGGCAATGAGAAAGCCTTGAAAGTAACCACACACACAGAGAGAGGGTTTGGGTAAAATTGAAATTGTAAATTTATGATACTTGTTTTAATTATTACTATGATAAGTCTAATTCCTACATATGCCCTTAATCCATTGTGGAATTACAAGTGTGCCTTGTTAACTAAGTACTAACAGTCTAACATGACTGCAGCCTCAAAAGGAGAGTTACTGTTAGGTAACTTAAATATTTTAGTTTACAATTTCTTGATATATCTCTTAATTTTATATTTAAATAAACTAATCTTTTTCAAAATATTTTTTCGTATTTTTTTTAAATAAACGTTAAATACTTATGAAATCCAAATGTAGATGTAAAGTTAATTTCTATTATAGTTCCAAATTATATTGTCTTCATTTACAATAATTACAAACTAAAATATAAAAAAAATATTCAAATATACATTGAATTTTCATATAATTTTTAGGTACATTAAATTTTCATATAATTTTTAGATTTAGAGTGAGAGTACGGATCTAATTAAAAAAATGATGATACAGAAATAATTAAAAAAATTAAAGTTTTCTATAGCTTTTGAAATTATGAAAACAAATTATTTTATTTTATTTTAAAAAATTATGTAATCATTTCAAAAAAAAAATATTTATTCATAGTTGGACACATGTCATGTACTGATAAAAAATTAAAATAATCACATATCATTCTTATTTCTTCACTTTTAAAATGTAATTAAAGAAATTATCCTCTCTCTCTTTTTCAAGAAATAATTAATTTGTTCATTTTTAAAATTGACATAGACTTAAAGAATGTTAAAACTAAAATGTTTAAGTTAACAAACTATAATTTTAAAATTTTGAATCAATATATTCACATTTAAAAATAGAAGGACTAAAATATTGTTTTTATAGTAGATAGGTTAAAACGAACGATTAAATATAATAAAGTGATTAACATTAAAGAATAGAGTAAAATTGTAATTATAATACAAGAATTTCCAATAAAATTTAATCGATAAATTTATAATTAAGAATTGAGAACACATAAAAAATCTTGAGAGAATATATATTTTTAAAATTAAAGATTTTATACATTTGAAATCATTTAGAATGACACCTTATAAACTTGCTAAGGGGATTGAAATGCCTAATAATTTAAATAAACAACAAAGTTTTGTTTTTATTAAGTTAGGCGACACCATAAAAGATGCACATAACGACTGCTCTCTTTGCTTAAGCATAACAATTGGGGCAGACGAGGAGTCTGCAACGGAGCAGGCCCCCATGGTAGGGTTCTCTAATTAAGTAATCTGCTCCATGGCACTTGCCTCTTCCTTCACCGTGTTTGATTCGCACACGATGACCTTTTATTGCCTTTGCTAATGTCAATACTATCACCAGTGCCCTAACAAAATTGATATTTATGTGAACTGTGGAGGAGTTGGCAAAGAAGAGTGCTTGATGAGAAGGACCCTTGCTGCTCATGTGGAATATATTTATATTCAAAATCACAAGCCATGAGGAGAAAATAGGACTATTCAGTTCAATTCTAAAAAAACATAAATAAATCTGTATATGTTCATGTTGGGATGATTTGTATAGACAGCTTAGCTAATTTAGCGCGACAACGAATGCCCACACCGAGGTATACAGCAGCCATGGAGATATTGGGTATGCATTTGAATGATGCTAATGATTTGGAGGAAAGTATATTTGTGTCCCAAAGACCAATGACGACAAAAATGAACTTCATGAACCTCAATAATTGTACTTCAAAAAAGTAAATTATAGACTGTGTTCCTAATCAGGTCCATTTTATTTGTACCAGACAAAAATATGCAATCGGATTACAAGCAAATTCAGTAAAAGTTCAACTGTATTTCCATGAAGAGACTGGACAAATCAATTCAAGCAGGTAATAGAACCCTGCTGCCCTCCAAGATATGTAAGTACAAAGCAAGACAAATGGTGACATTAACAGAAGGCTTTGCACCAGCATATCTTATAGCATTCAATCCCCTTTGCACAACCTATTTATTGACAACTTGAGTGCTTCTTCTCAAACCATCCAAAAGTTTGCACAATATAAACTCCACCACTATGGACCTAATTGTTTCAAAGGTCACCCTCCCGGTCGCATCAACCACAAGCTTCCTATTGCTGGGAATTGCCGGGGTGGATGAGACCTTATCAACCCACCCACTATTATCAAATGAGCTTCCTTCTTCAACTCCTCCTGAAAGTGCTTCATTTTCGAAACCGTCTTTGTTCGACCTGAATCCACACTATGATTAAGAATTGAACTCAAATTCCGGTTCGAGTTTGAACTTGTTAGCATTTGATGTGTCGTTTTCACCAGAGTTGCAACAGCACCATTACTGACGGGACCAAAATTTCTCTCACATTGTTTTGATGCCTCGGATTAGTCATCCCTGCAAACATCTCATCATATGCATTTATATCCTTGTCAAGATATACTGCAACAGCGGTACTTACAAATCTTTGTACGCAGTCGGCGGTTAGCTCTTTAGACTTAACATCATAAGCACGGTAATCCATTTGGGCATATCAGATGGACCGCCGTTGCTGCTCGACCCATTAATTCCTCCACCATTTGAGTAAAATCCCAGGACCAGATTCCACGGAAAGTTGCCAACCACAACAGATGCAAAACCAGTGCCAGCATTAGAAAAGATCGTATCCAATACCCTGTCAGTAAAGCTGGAACGCCCTGAGCCCGTTTCCAGTTCAACCCCATTCCCTGCTTCTAACTTGTAACCTCTTAATATTAGAAATTTTGGTTTCTAATATTGATTCATATAATTTATGTAATTGATAATTACTGTTGTTGTACACATGGAGATGATTAATGTAGAATAGAGGAGACAATTATTGAGTGTAAATCTCTCCATTCCATACTGTGAAAATATAAGTTTCAGTGATGTTATAGGTAACTAAAAAGTAAATGGGTCTTTCGGTTATTTTGACCGGAATTAGTTTTTTAAAAGCTCAAGTAACAGACAGTTTTTTTTCAATGCTCTCTCTTTTTTTCTCTTAAAAAGAAAAACAAGAACGCTATTTATTTTGGGTTCTGATTCTTTCATCAATATCCAATCAAGTCTTGATATCATCACAAGATAAATTGAGGATTATACAGTATTGAGATTGGATAACATTTATTATTTCTTGCTTTTGGGATATTCGACTATCATAATGAAATTGTCAGGTAAATTTTCATTTATTTTACTGTAATTCTTAATAATTATGTCATGAGCTTGATTTAATTACCCTATCAAGATCCTTGTATGTTAATTGCTTCCGCATGCAAGATTAATTGATTTTAACATTTGGCGTTAGAGCCAAGTTTGATGGGAATTAAATCACCAATTTTAGTTTCATAAGAAATTTGGGTATTTTTTTATTAAAGGTTTCATAAGAAAATTGAAAGAAAATTGAGTATTTTTCTTATTAAAGGTTTCATAAGAAATCTTAGTATTTTCTTATTAAAGAGTAAATCGACAATTGATTATGATATTGATGTTAAATTGATTGTTAATTGATAAGGAACAATGATATGATCCCAGTTTAATGGTGAATGGCGTTGTCGCGGCAAGTGAAGTTGTCATGGCAAGTGTAGGATTACATCAAATGATTTTGGATATGATTTAAATCTTTAATATTTAGTGAGTGCGTTAGTCACCAAAGTGGCCTACTTGAAATTCATGAAATGATTTATATTATGTTTATAAATGTTTATTTAATGTAGCATCATAAATGACATTTAAGAATAATAAACATTTATAGTTATTAACATGTAGTTATACGATTACCCAAAAGTAGATCTTACTTATGGTTAATAACAATTGAAGTAGGTTATAAACTTTGTTTAATTAATGTATAAGTTACATCCAAAGATGACTTGTATGTTAAAGTAAACTTAATGATTGACCTTATATATGCTATAAGAATTATGCATGTTTGATTATTGTTGGTTGTGTTTAGATCTAACCCAAAGGTGAATTTAAATGCAATATTTTGGTATATGTTATAGTCTGAATTGTGGTTTAAATTCAAAACAATTAATATGTAAGAGGTAAATGTTTGCAGTGGTCTGTACTATGTCAAATATGACTGTCAATTGTATAAAGTTTAATGGGCAGAACTATGATGATTGGATCGAATATGTCAAGCTAAATGCTGGCCTTTTGGGACTCGATTTAGCTCTAGTTATGGATGAATTCACTAAATCGACCGATACTAGTCTGGAGGCAGACAAGAAACTGTAGGAGAACTGAGAAAGATCGAATAGGCTTATGATGAGCTTTCTTAAGTTTAGCATAACGCCCAACATTAAGGCTTCCCAGCCCAAGACAAATAAGCAACACTTCTGTTCTTGAACCAAATTATTGGACAAATAATTACCATAAAAAGACAATTTAGCTCAAGAATTGAAGAAAAATCAGATGGCCCTTCCAACCATCTACTTCTATAATGTTTATTACAGTTGATCAAACCTCATCTTTATTACATAATCTTTAACAGAAAGATTAAAAAATACATGAATTCTCAAAGTTCTAAGAAGGGAAATTTTAACTTTACAGATTTTCTGTACAAATCTTGTATCCCAATCAAATAAAACTAAGAAAAAGCCGGTCTCGATGTTTATAACTCCTTTTACATGCTGTCTATGAACACGGGCAATAGTACTTTGACATTGCGCTTCTTTCCATTCAAAAATCCTTGCACAATCAGTCAACAGGACAACACACTATTAACACTTGATTGATCACTTATCATATTCAAACGAGCTTCCAAGTTCAGAGACACCTTTGGCACCTTTAACCAATTGCCCTGCATCGATGATGCTGTTGGTGTGTCCATCATTCCAGAAACTAAACAACCTTTTGGCTCCATCTTTGATCCAACAAGCAAAGCTTACGCCCAGCTGAATCAAATCACAGGTTTATGTTTTAGAAGTTTCAAGTCCTTTTGAAACTAACTTAGACTTTGCACGGGTGCTATCCTCTTCGGAATCCTCAAGATCACTGAAAGAAATATTTTCCACATCCTCCAGACAAAGTGCAGCCCCATTATGAACACCAAGTTCAGGACCCTCATCTTCTGGCCAATCAATCTCTTCATCATCAAAGTCTGGAATCCATATTTTTGAGGGTGGACCGACCGGAGTACCCTTATCCTCGGCATTAGACACCTGCTTCTCCTCGACAACAGACTTGTCTACAACTGGCATCTCAACACTTTCAACAGGATGCTTATCGGTCTCATAACCTGTTGGGAAGCTAGATGCCTCTTTAGAAGCATAGGTCCGAGGTGATATGGTTTCAAAAGCAAAATAATTGGAGGAAGGAATAATATAATTGCGCACTCTACTATGACAGTCTTCGTGGGAAGTGCTTCCTCCGTACCAATCAGTTTCAGGGATTGTTTGCTTTTGCAGCTCCTTCATCCACAACGATCTAGCTTCCCTTACCTGCCAGCAACAAATTAACCACCAAGAAAATTAATCAACATTCTGCATGTGAGCTTCATAAGTGCTGAATTACTGTACTGATTACTAATACCGTGAACAATAAGTACATAAAGTATATCTCATGAAAAACTACACTTATGGCAAAGAAATCCTAATTGTAATTCTAATAAACCATAAGAACATTCCATGGAACTGTATGAAATGACATGATACTTTACCGGGCATGTAACAAGTTCAACTAAGATTGAGAAGTTATGAAGAATCCTTCACCAGTTTGGAAGACGAATTTGTAAGCACAACCTTTTTGACAAAGTGGAGAGAAATATTTTTTGAAGGGAAAGAATGGAACACTTTTCTGACATCTTTGTACATCAGATATAACCCAGGACCCACGGAAACCAAGCCATAAAAGGGTTGATTAATCTAGACAAAAGCATGCATGGCAGACTTTCCGGGGGCTCGGCAAACTAGCAGACAAGTGACAAACTCTAAATATTACTTATTGCAAGCATTAACGATAATCATTAATCCGTGGAATAAATTAACTAGGTAGTAGGTGCAAGTGTAAAAAGTGGATATCATATTTGAGAGTTGACGCAAGGACTATGTGCAAAATTAATAAACTTCTAGAAAAAGGAATTTCATATCAATTAGCAAACTTTGCAATATCTTCTATTCCCATATTTATTTATCTTCAGATTTAAAAGTTCAAAATCTAAAATTGTAACCTCAACCAAGAAAACAAAATGAGAAAACAGAAACAGATATCAGTTAAACGCTCAAATAGGGCTCAATATTATCAAAGTCCCTTAGATGATACTTTCCTGTCGAAGAAAAATGTAAATAGCTTCACAAAGTAATAAAAGTCTTGGGCCTCTTAAGATATTATGCTTAGGAGAAGTCACTTACCTGAGGTGTAGACAGAACGTCAGCATCAGCCTTGTTAAGTCTTGAATGCAGGAGAACAAAATAAACTTTCCAGAAGTAACCGTCACTCATGTGGCACGGACAAAGTTCAATTCTCAGAGCTGCTAGTCTCGGAGCAAGATATTCAATAGCCATGGCATGGGCTCGTTGGGCAGCCGACATGTCAAAATCTATAACAAGGAAACAAGAAAAGACAAAAGCTCGAACTCTTATCGTCATTTTAGAAACCTAAAAATAATAAATCGTAAAAATAATCAAATGAAACAGCAAAAAATTACAATCAACATAAGCTAGACCAAAAGGCAAAATAATACAGGATAATGTGTTGGATTGAGTAAGGGTAACATAATCAATCTTATGCATCTAAAATTGCAGTACAGATGCCGGATCTTGATCAACTTTGCAAATAGAAATATAGGTTTTCAGCTCAATCACTTGATGACAGAATCACACACTAATGTCAAGGGCAGGAACCACAGACACACACTCAGGACATTAACTAAATTTACTTTTAGTTATAATCAATCATCTCCTTTCTTTTATGATCCGGAATCATTGGCTTATGAAGTCAACTATGAAAATAATGATAGCATCAATTTGGCATTTTTGCATAGAGAGAGTTTAGAATCCAAACTACTCAGTGTTCAATTGAAGTTGAAACAAGTTGAACATTTTGATCAGTTGAGCTGTAAAAACTGATCTGAAAAGCAAGAATTTGGGGGCAGAGCATCTAGATAAACAACCAAATTGTATTACTATACAATGAGATCAAATTTATCTATGACTAACGAAGAAAATTGCCATCCAAGTCTTCATCAGGATCAAGAGAGAAATCCAACCACGTTTCTGGGTGATGAGCGATATTTCTGGCAAACGCCAATACCTCATCTGTGATCCCAAGCACATCGAACTCCTGATCCTCTTCCTCCTCAATTCCATTTTCCATCTCGTACTGTTCCTGGTTTTCCTCCTGTCCAAACGGCAAATAGTCCGATGCCATCTTAGACAACGTTCCCCCGATCTCAGCAAAATCGTCCCCAATCCCCACAATTGCCGCTGAATCAGGTGGATCATCTTCGTCCCGTGAGATAGATCGATCCGACAGATCAGAATGATTCAAATTAGTGGATGATCGATCATTTGATTGGCCATTCAATTGCGTTGACGATGGAGGCGGTGGCGGAGCGAGAAAGGAAGCGACACCGAAGAGTTGTCCCGTTAGGCTATCTTTGAGTTGGGTTAGAGCTTCTTTGATGCCATGAAGTTCGTCCACTTGTTGAGGGGACAGCGATTGTTGTTCCTCCTTCGCCTTGGTTTCCTCGTTTGTAGGTGCCGATGATTGAGACACGCGGATTACGTCGTAGTTTTTCCCAGCCCTTGAAGCAGCCGATTCTTCGTCGTCGTCGTCGAGAGTGAGGGAATTCGCCAATGACCGAGCTAACCATGACATTCTTCCTTATTTTCCTTCTGTATATATATATATATATATATTTTTTTTTTGCCTTTTGGATTTTTAGGGTGGGAGGGTGAGGAAGTGATGGATGGAAACTTGAAAGCTTGGCTTGTTGGTTTAAAAAGGGTAGCCTTACTGTTGTTAAATTACTTAATATAAGAGTAGCGACAATCCTATGGTGATTGGACCACTAAAAGCACAGGTAGGGTCTGGGTTTATCATCCTAATTATTAATGCCGCGTAAACATAAAGAGGTTTGTGTGATCCTGTTCCGTTATGTCTTGAGAGAGGGAATCTTCCTTTTTCCCTTCCCTTCCTTTTTCATTTTCTATCAAAACAATACCTCGACAGTTTGTATTTTACTTACGAAATAGACTGGGCTTTAACCCTACCTCCTCTTTTTGTGGGCTTTTCTCCACTGCCTTACTTATTTTTTCTAATGCTTCATTGGGTCAACAAAAATCAAACCATTTTGATCTTATTTCATCTGAACCCAAAATTCGGCTCACAGTGTAAAACCTAGGGCTGGCTTTGCATCTATAATCACCCATATTTAATAAATTAATGAACGAATTCATTAAATGACTTAATAGTTAAAATAAATATGATTTATTTTAAAAACTTTAAATACGTATAATTATATATATATATATATATTAAAAACTTCAAATTCGAATATTATATTTATTTCTAAGACAACTATATTAAACCAAAATATTAAATTAAATATTAAGTGGAACCTTAGTTATTGTTTTTGTAAATATAATATATTTGTAATCAAAATAAAAATTAGTATCTCAAAAAACCCTATAAATAATGTAAATTTTATGTATTCATACCAACCACGTCTGCATGGTATGTGTTGCTAATTGATTAAGAAAAATGTCTAATAGATACAAGAGTAAAAACCCTATCCATTTTTCTCTCAAAAATATTTAAATCGTTTATCTTTTTTTTCATTTTTGGTTGATAAAAGGTGACATCAGCCTCTGTGCTGATTGTCGATGTCGATATTTCTAGTTTTTCCTTTAATTTCTTGTATCACATATTTATTTTTCCCTTGGCTTTTTAGTTTTCAATAATTATGCATTTATAACACATTTTTTATGTCTTTCAATAACTCTGCCTTTGTGACACGATTTTTTATGTCTTTATGACATGTTTATCTCTGATTTATGGGACATTTTCGCTCATTTGGTTGTTATTTTAGTTTATCTTTTTTCTCATGGTTAAATTTGGCATCGCCATGACTGATCAAGATGACACTTATTTGTTATCATGTTGATATTCCTTTCTTTAGACAATCAAATTGAACTTATTGGTTTTTCACTTCGCTTGATTCTAATTAATAGGTTGTCAGTAGTCTTTTAGTAGTTTTATCTCTTTATGTGGTTTGTTTGCTAATGTGATCAAATATGTTTGTATTTATCTTTTGTCTGAGTTTTTTTTGTTAGGTTTTTAACTTTTTTTTGTCATTGTGTGATCTTAAGTAGTTAGTTTTGATGTTAATGGTTGTAACGCTCCAAATCTCGGGTTAGTAGTTTGGGTTAACCCAAGACCGATAAACTGAGCCCAAAAGACCTATTAGAATAGTTTGGACCTAGTAAGTGGGCTTAAGTTGGGCCCAAGTGTTAAAGACTAGGGATGTTTTATTTTGAGATAAAAAGAGGAGGACTAATAATACAATTATCCCATGGCTCAAAACAAAAGCTAATTTTCTTTTAAAACAAGGTTGATTCACATGTACCCCTTATCTTACTAAACACTCATCATTTTCTTCTTCTTTTATCTCTTCTTATTCTTCTCCAAAGTGAACAAATGTGGAAACTTTAGAAAATTCAAGTTTAGTTTGGTTAAACCATGGTAAGAATATTAATCATCACCCTTCAAGCTTTAATTTAAGCCCCTAATCTTAAGTTTTGGGCATATAAACCAAAAATGGGTTTTAGGGAGGTTTAAGCAAATCAAGTGATTCTGGCCATTTTGGTGGATTCAAGTTATAGAGAGTGTTTTATTTTATATCCAAGTACCTAGTTTAGTTGGTAATTAATTTCTTGCCTTGTTTAGTGAAAGAGGTGGGAGAGAGCACCAAATCTAGGGAAAAGAAAAAGTGAGCCTTGGTTGATTTGGGAGGGATTTAAGTAGCGAAGGAAGCAAGGTAACACATTCACAACTTCATCATACCATTTGTGGGTCACTAGAAATGCATTCTAGCTTAAAATATGAGTTTGAAGTATGTTGAGTATTTTCATGGTAAATTCTATGTTTTATTGTTATAGCATGTTTCAAAACCTTATTTATGACCCCTTATTATCACATAAGACTTAAATAAAGATTGGGGACCTCAAGATAACATTTTGGGTAAATTTGAGTGTCTAATTCGTGCCCAGATAGGACATTTTCGAGGATGAGTATCAGTACTATAAGAACAAGATTGATATTGTTCTTATGAGAGGTAGAAAAATCAAATTGATTTTGAGGAGAGTATCGATACTCATCCTAAGAGTATCGATACTCAGTGTAACATCCTCAATATCGGGTTAGTGATTTAAGTGTAACATTTTTAATTCAATGACCAAACTAAATAAATTGAAAAGTGAAGGAATTAATTGAAAGATGTTGGTGTAGGATTGATTAATAAGTGAAGAAGAAGTAAGAGAGTAAAAGGGTCATTGAGCAAATAAAATACTAAAATAATAAATTGTGGGTATTATAATATCCATGTGAATGAATTGAAGAGATAAGTTCCAGATTACTCATCCCCCTTTTCTCTTCATCTTCTTCCTTTTCAACGTGAAACCCAAGCTCAAGGTAAGAATCCGAACTTTGGTCGTTTCTTTGATTTTTAGCTTGGAAATTGAAGTTTGGATGTTATATAAGCTAAAGGAAAGCTTACATGACATTAAAATAACAAGATAAATGTTTTAGAGATAGATTTGAAAAATGGGTTTTTAGATAAAATTTTGATATGGATGAGTTTTTGAAGTTTGAATAAGTTTTTTGACTTGTCAAGAGGTTAATTAAGGAATATAGAGTGTTAGAATTGATTAATAACATGTTTGGAATTTGGGTATGATTATTGGTTTTAAGAATTTGAATGAAGTATTGGAAATAATAAAGTGTTGAAATGATAGAAGTTAGTTAAAATGGTTGTAGCTAAGTTTGGTAGTATGGGAGAAATTGTTTATGAGAAAATTTAGTAAGAATGGAGGATTTTCGGATTTGAACAGTAAAATTTACAGATTATGCGGAGGGAACCGATACCCCCTGGGGGGGAATCGATTCCCCCTAAAGGAAAAGTTGAGATTTGGTTCATTAAATTTGTTTAAGCTGTTAGAGGTTAATTGCAAGGTTTAGGATTTTGATAATTGTCTCGAAAATTATGTTCATGTAGATATCGAGCCTAAACGAGTTCCGGAACAAGGGACGAGTAAGATCGATCGAGGGAAAGGCAAAGAGATTTAGGTGAGTGCATATGCATATCATGATTATAGAAATACATTCAGGTCTAGACTTGTGATAAGTCTAGATTTTATATCTTGATACATGAATAATAATATGACTTCTAAGTGTACATTACTATGATCATATGTTATGTGTGTTATATGCATTGTTTTACCTGATTTATGTATTACATGAAATGTGAAAACAATTATGCAACATGGAGTTATATGATTACATGAAAAGATGATATGAGCTATGTGATAAAGGTAAGAAGTTACATGTCTACGCGATATAAACTACATGAAATGTAAAAGCCCATGTTATGTAGATGAGAACTATAGGTATAGTTGGCATGCCAAGAGTAGAGGGTCTACGCGGTCTTTCGGGATAAAAATTCTACGTGGTCCTTCGGAACGTATATGTATTCTTTGGAGCATGTATGATGTCTTTTGAGACATGTACTTGATCTTTGGTATATGTATATGATTCTTAAGGAATTTCTATGTGGTTCTTAGGGGCATATTATATGGCACTACGGTGCAATTCTACGTGGCACTTCGGTGCATCTCTACGCGGTCCTTTGGGACAAATTCTACGTGCACTTCGGTGCAAATTTATATGAGCTGTGGTGACAGCATAGTGCACAACCTCACAGTACTCACATACCTCGGGTTCTCAGTATTGTATCATGGGCTATTGAATCTATTGAACTTACGGAATTTATTATATGAATTTATGATGATTAAATTGAGAAGATTATTGATAAGGTACATTGTTATGTAGCTTACATTGATTGCATAGATGTTTTCGTTACGTTTTATTTTATTATAGCATCATTGTTATATTTCATTGTTATTATTATTATGCCTCACTAAGTCTATGACTTAGCGTGTAAGCGATTTACACGTAGGTACGAAGAACCAAGATTAGCATAAATAGAAGTGGCAAAAACAACAACACTGTTAGAAGATCATATCAGAAGTAATTACTAAAGTATGTATTTTGATTGTGTATAATATGTTGGTATGTAAGAAATATAATAAGTTGTTAGTACTAACGCTCTGATCGACTTTTCTAATATTTTGAACATATTTATGTAAATGTAAATGTATAGTAATGAATGGTTAAATTTTTACGAGTTTTATGTACGTTTTACGGAAGTAATGTAGCAGGGGAATCGATTCCCTGTAGCAGGGTACCGATTCCCTATTTGTGTTCTGGAAAATTTGTGTAATCGGTACTGTAGCAGTTACTATTCACGGTACTGTAGCAGATTGTTGTTCATGCGTATTTTAATATATACAAATACGTTTTTGCCTAAAATTTTATAATAAACATAATTCAATAATTTATTATAGTACTTTCTTAAAATAAGTTTAAATGTTTGTTATTTTGTAAGGAAAAATGTTTTAAAAAGGTAATGTGACATCTCAGACTCGTATTCGGATCGGGTACGGGTTGGGGTGTTACACTTTTTGAAACCAGAGAAAAAGGTATCGAGATCGTTTTTCCAGTGTACAAATTTGGTATCGGTATTCAAGGGAGTATCGATACCCAGGGTAGAGTATCGGTACCCCCATAGGAGTATCGATACTACTCATTTTCCTTTAAATAGAAATTAGCTTGATAGTATCGATACTAGAAT